TTTTTGCAGCCGGAGCTGGTCGTAACCCGAAAAGTTCGTTAGTAGAGGCATTCGTATCCCGAGGTACCACTGTATCTGCAAGTTTGATGTAGTAACTCAATTTCTCCATTAATGAACAAGCTGGAATGTTCTGCTTACCTGCATAATTATTTGTCATTTTTTTCCAGGAACAGTTTGTATAACCTGGTTTAACATCTTAAATTACAATGTAATAAATACTCCTGATGAAGTTTTTCTTTAATTACCTTAAAGAGGATTCTTAAAGTTATGGCATTAACTTGGAGATACTTTTCAGTTTTCACAATAAAAAGTAATATATTCAACAAAAAAAATTGGGGGTTTTTTGTCAGCGCTTTCTGACAAAATATAAGACCATAGAAAAAATAAGGAAGTTCTTGCTATGTGATTCATAAATTACTTACATATTTGCTTTTCTGAAGTTTAATAAAAACTTATGTAAAAAAAAAAAATCCAAGGTGCATTAATTAGGCATGCCTGTGAGGGAATGAAGCTGGGGTTGTTGTCTGCATTTGGGAAAAGCAGCTGTAGCCAGGCAGAAATGCTTCCCACCCTCATTTTCCTAAGGATCAGCTCAGCTCATGCTTTTTGTCAAAGATCAATAAAAGTTTATAGCTCCAGAAACTTGAGAGGAGATGGGCTCATTCATTCACTCATCCCCTCCATTCACACCATTTACTCACAAGCATCCACACCGGCATTCCAGTTGTCTGGCTAATTGAGCCACACCCTGGTGTTTCAAGGAACATGCTGATGTCTGTAGGCAGCCTCGCCCCACCCAGGTCCTTAGCTTACAAAACTGGTTGTGTAGGAGAAAAGGATAAGATGACAGCAAGCAGATGAGGAAGCAGGAAGTGACATCTGGGAATGTGCAGCTATTACAGACAAGCAAGAAGGCCTATCAGTCAACTGCCAAGACCACGAACTACATTAAGCAGCCCATTGTGGTGTGATTCCTGCCTGGAGCTTGGTAGCAACCAGAAGAGGAGCAACCGTGCTGAGGCAGCATCTAACCCCAACGAGTGCAAGAACTTCTGGAGGGAGGCAAAGGTTGTGTGCCACTTTACAAACTTTAAGACTTTTATTCGTTATAATGACTAACCATCAAAGACTTATTTTCATGGCTACAACAACTTGCAAAGCCTAGGAGAGTGGAGTTAACCCAGGACAACAGCCTATTGTTAGGAAAGGTGTGTGCTACAATAAAGTATTTTGTAAAGTTATCTTCTATGCTATGATGTGTGCAGTCCTTGGAAAACCATCCTCACAATGCCTCCAAATATCATGCTGCAATCTACTGAATAGCCAAAAAAATAATCCATTGAATTTGAATAACAGGAAGAATGGAAGAAGCAAGCAAATAACTGTTATCATGCAAAAGTGAAGAAAGACAAAATAATACGCTAAATAATATGGATGTAAATGTGCTTCTTTTGTTCTTACCTATGAGAACAGAGAAGAAGAACTGAGTAACATGGATGTTCAAGACTGGAGATGCAAGATTCAAAAACCAATTTGGAGTCATGGGGAACAGCCTCAGAAATAACAAGAAGAAGAACAAGGAATGTCTATTTTCTTCTACCTGTCAAAGGAACCCCCACCAAAAAAGATAAAATCAAACATGATCAAATTGCTTTCTTCCCCGCCTGCTTTTTTTTCCCCCAAAAGGTTGTACTGTGATACAAATAAGTTCTAGATTATATTCAATCAGGCAACTGATTATTTATCACCTCCTGTGTTCTTTTAAGGAACGGATCTACAGCAGAATGGGGGTGAGGGAAGGATACTGTATTTCTGCTAATTCTCCCTTCCCTTTTGAAATCTGAGGAGCCTGAGGAAAGACAGTGAAGGGAGGAAGAATGCCTGAAAACTGCCTTCTGCCTTTTAAAAGCAGTTCTTTTTCTGTATCTTGGACCCATCTATGACTAGAAGGAGTTCCTGAATGTGGACGACTAGTTAGGATCTAAGACTAGACAGACATTCTCCACTGGCATAAACAATATAAAGAAATAGTTCACTTGTGGAGGGCTATAGTTACCATGGTGTTCTTATTTATGTTCTATTGGTTAGGTACAGGCCCATACTAGCAAAAAGCATCTACTATAGGTCTAGGCAGCAATTTTAGTGCACACGCCTTAAAGAAATTATCTTTTCCTGGCTTACTGTAGATAATTGCACAGTCTTAGGAAAAAAGTTTGATTTAAAGAGGCACCTACAGGGGCCATGTTTGTGGCCCAATGCCCTCTGAATCATTTTTTTTTACCTTCTAATCTGGATTATTAATCACTTTCTAATTTGGATTGTTAAAATCTCACAAAACTATGTAACTCACTCATGAAGGAATATTTTTAAAATTTCAGTCAATGCATGTTAAATCACTAGCAGTAAACTTTTGTCATCTAGGATTTAGTCACAGAAGCATGGCGAGCTGCCTTCTGCCGAGCTAGATCACTGAGCCAGCTAGCTTGGTATTTTGTCTAATGACTAGCAGCAGGTCTTCAAGCTTTCAGACAGGATGCTTTCCTTGCAGTGCCAGGAATTGAGCCTGGGACATTCTAGGTACAACATATATATACAATTGAGCTATGATTCTTATTTATTACTCAGTCTTAACATGTTTCATACTGATTAAAATTTAATTGTAATTAGCATTTTCTTACCTTCCTCTGAAGCATGGTAACTTTATCAGGAAAATAGTAGGTAACAAAGTTTTTCCCAAAAATATTGGACAGTCCATAGCAACATGTAGCACCCACAGAAGTTAAAGCAGAACATAACAGAAGTCCCATCCATGGTCCAAAGAGAGCCCCAGCAAGGATGTTCTGTTAGAGCAAAACTAGATAGTGATCCAGTCCATTAAAAACTGTGGGGAAAGCATTAAGGACTTTATGAACCATAAAAATATAAGAACAGCCCTGCCTGCTCAATTCAGTGGTCCATTTAGTTCATCATTGTATTAATGACAGTGGTCAGTGATGTCTCTGCAAAATCCATAAACAGGGTATAAAACACAGGTGTTTGCTGCTCTCCAGTTACTATAATACACAGTATTACAAATCCAAATGCTCAATTATACAACTGTCCACCAAGAATTTTTCTACTCTGTCCGTCAATAAAAGGATCAGGTTATCATCCATCCATCCATCCATCCATCCATCCATCCATCCATCCATCCATCCATCCATCCATCCATCCATCCCAGCTAACGCAAAAGACACTGGGTGGGTTACATCAGGTTAAAATGATAAATAGAGCAATAGAAATAATTTACAATTATAACAAACAACAATAATAAACCAATTCTACCCCAAGATAGAGGCCAATAGAATGTAGCTTGGATTGAAGCCATGGTGATGAGGAGGAAGAATAATGAGGATGAATTATTTTTATGATTCATCAGAAATCCTACTCTGTGGCAAACAGGGCTTGTTTCTTTGCCTCTGTTGTGTATACTTAGACTAGGCTGGAAAGATTATGACTAGCAGCTACTTTTTTAATCCTTGCCACCTTCTGGCAGGGAAGTGATTGGTGCTTCCTTGAGCATGGGATATGTTCCTGATTGCTTAAAAGAGACACTTATAAAATATATACTGAAAAATATATACTCTCTCTCAGTCCAACCCAACTCACAGGGTGGTTGTTGTGGGAAAAACAGGAGGCAGGAGCATTATGTATGTTTGCAGCACTAAGTTATATATAAAAAAGGGCAGGATTGTTATTATTATTATTATTATTATTATTATTACTACTATTACTATTATTATTTTCATTAATACTGACATTTCAGCAAGATGGAAAATTTATTTATAAGAGTGATACAGCTGCCCATATTGTAACCACAACCCTGGGCAGCTCACAAGCAATAAAAATAGCACTCCCAGCCCCCCCAAATCACAATAAAAACTCATGGCACCCTAAGGCAACGCTCTCCCACATATCAACATACCATCTTGTATCCTCAAGGGATGTTCCTGTGAATGGTCAAAAAAATATTCACATTTCTAGAGCACTAAGGATTTGTACATGAAGTTACAATGTACCCTAGAAAGAGTTCTATAAAACTAGTGACAAGAATATTTGCTTTGTGTGAAATGGGCAGCTATATAAATGTGACAAATAAAGAAAATAAATAAATAAATTGAATGAATGAATGAATGAATGAATGAGTGTATGGAAGGATGAATGGTATATCTAACAATACAACTATAGGAATAATTTTTTTAGTAACATGCTACAAAACCAATCTATGAGATTTGTGACATATATACATACCAGAAAGCTAGAGCCAGGTATGGCAAAACTTTGTTTGTATAGGTAAGCACTGCAGAACAGCAGAATCACATATGCATGGTGCTCCTTATTGTAGTACTGTAGAAACTCTGCAAGCTCTTGTAGTTCCTCTAGATCTGAAGGGAATTTTAATGACCTGATAAAGAAAGAACATAATCAGTTAAGTTGCAAATTATGTTTCCATTCAAAAGGAGGATCACAGGATAATTATGAGATTAGCCTTGAAGATTAGCAGGCTTATTGCAACATGGAGCTTTCACAAGAAATAAATCAATTTGACCTTACCAATGTTGTAATAACATTTGGTTTTCCTATTGCTTAATATACTTACAGTAGTTGGGTTTTTTTTTAAGAGGTTAAAAGGAAACACCAAATCAAAAGTCATCTTAATTCTTTTTTTAGAAACAAAATATTAACATTTTTGCCACTATTTTAGTTCAGACAAGATAAATGAATCTGTAATAATAAAAGTATTTGCAGGACTAGAAAAGGAGGAGTATGAAAAGATAGGAGAATGGATCTTGTGATGGAAACAAGCAGCTATAAACATATTGGAAGTATACAATCACTGAAATACATTTGCTCAAGCTAGTAGAAAATCAAGCAATAGGTAATGTTAAACTTTATAAACTTGAAAATAGACCAAAACTCCAGTTGAAGTTGTCCTATTAACGCTGGCAATAAAGACCAGAATTTCCAATGATCTTTTATAACACTCTCTCTCTGCATCCTTCACTAAAAAGCTAAAACTTTGTCTCCAAATCAGTCTAAGCAAATTATTTGACACCCTTACTACAATTTAAATGTAAAAAAAAAAAAAACGCTCTATACATTTGCCAGGTCCATGCCACAAAGGTCACAGTTGTGTCATTAAACAATGTGCTCTTCCTTTAACTGTGGCCACACAATTAGTCATGCCATATATTAATTGTTTCATTTCAACAAGCCCTAATACTTGTAAGAACAGCTTTACTGGACCAGGCCAAGGTCCATCTTAGTCCAGCATTTTCTTTCTTACAGTGGCCAATTAGATGCCTCTGGTATGCTTGGAAGCAGGAGATAGTTCTCTCACACTACTGTTTTCCTGCCACTGGTATATGAACACATGCTCCCCCCAGCATGGACATAACATTGAATCTTTACGACCAACAGCTTATGATAGAACAGTTCTCCATGGATCTATCTAGAACCTTTTTAAAAACATCCAATAGCCACCACATATCTTATGATAATGAATCCCACAGGCAAATTATATGTTGTGTGAAGAATTTCTCCCTTTGGTCTATTTTAAATATTCATCCAATCAGTTTAATTCAATGACTCCTAGTATTTTAAGAGAAAAAAAACCCTCTCCAGTTCAACAATGCCAAATATTCTAGTTTTTTTTCTCTAGGAAAGTGGTTCAACCCCCTGATTATTTGTATTGGGATTCTATGATTAAACAATGCCATCTATCAGGACCCCGGAAGTGTGCCTGCTTTCTGGAATGAGGTCCCCCCTCCCGAGATTCTAATGGCGTTTTGAAGGACCTTGGACACATGGCTCTTGGCCCAGGCCTTTGGCAAGTGTGATTGAAGCTTCCTTTTCTTTGTTCCTATCTGAGTAGGTTATCTTTGCCATCTTTGCTCTTTTTTATTTAATGTTGTTTTCTTGTTTTAATTTTTTTAACATTTTGTAAACCGTCCAGAGATACTGGGAATCAGGTTACATATACATTTAATAAATAAATTTGTTTGCATTCTTTTGCACTTCTTCCAGCTCTTTTAAATTCTTTTTCAAGAGTGGCAATCAGAACAATGTACAATATTTATATATCATAAATTTGTACAAGTATATAACAATCTTGGCAGTTTTATTTTCAGTTCCTTTCTAATACTCTACTATGGAATTTGCCTTTCTCATAGTTTCTGCCCACCAAGTCAGCATCTGAATTATGCTATCCACTATGAGCTCAGTATCTTTTACCAGGTTAGTTACAGATAGCACAATCCCCATTAGAGTATGGATGAAGTTAGTATGTTTTGTCCCAGTGAGCCCAATTTACACTTACTTAAATTGAACCGCATTTGCCATTTGGTTGACTATCCAGTCAGTTTAAAGAGATTCTTCTGGAGCTCTTCATTTTTTATTTTTATCTCCTTGAGTTACCTTAGAAACATTTGCCATCTTGGCCAGATCACTGCTTACTCCTGGGTCAGGAACATCTATAAACAAGTTAAAAAGCACTGGCCCCTTCCAACACAGAACTCCACTTCTCATTTTCCTCCATTCAAAAAACTGTCCATTTATTCTTTTTAACAAGCTAGAAATCCATAAAAAAAACCCAAAACCAGATTGTCTTATCTCACATCCACTAAGTTTACTTGAGCTTTTGATGAAGGGCTTTGTCAATGTTTTTTTTTGAAAATCCAGGTATTTAAATACAAAACGGGAATGTTTTTATGCTGTGGCTAAACACAGAGCCATTAGGGTAGTGGGTGAATGTGCAATATCAAGCAAACATGCTATTAAGTTAAAAGATGATAAATTAAAATACATAGTGCCATACACATGACATCAATCAAATGCAGTAAATTACAATTACATTTTATTCCACTGAGCTTTTAACTAATAGGATAGCAACAGCACAGGTTGTATTTTTTTTCACAATGATCTGAATTTCAAATGAGGATTTAAAATGGAAAATAAGAGATTTACATTAGTTCTCAACAATCTTAGTTGAAATAAATTTCTACAATTTCATAATTACAATCTTAATTACAAGACACTTGCTGGTTTGGGAATTTAGAACAGAATGGCAGTGAACTCTAATCTCTGGAGCACCATGAACTACTACTTAGCTTTGATTTTGTGGCTGCTGGTAGTTTGATAATGATTTAAACTACACTACATAAAACCTACAGAAACAGGGAAACAAAACTGATTTTCTCAGATAAAGTGAATAAAACACCAAGATTATTTCATTCTCACTATATTTATTGCTCTGCCAGACTTTACCTATTTCTTTTAAATTACTTAGGAAAGATGTTGGCTGGTGGTTAGATATGCTGTTTTTTATTCAGTGCTTCTAGAGGGGAAGCTTGCTGTTGCTAGTAGGTAGAGCAAGCAACAATAGGACATCTGAAATAATGTGAAACCAACAGGGAAGAGATGGTGCACTTCTAAACCTAATTCTTATTGTGCAATCACTCTCCCCCCATGGAATGTTATGGAACCAGATGATGAAATTTTCTATCTGTAATCTTTTCCACAGAAAATGGGTAAAGGAGGTAAGATTCATTAGCAGTGAAATACTTACATGACGTCTCTTAAACTATAACACTAGGGGCCATCTTGCTGGATAAATCAAACTAAGCCCCCTTAAAGTTGAACAGACTATGGCAAAAGCATTTTAGAATCAGCTTAGAGGAAGTCTGTTGCCTACAAACACAAGGCAGAAGCATATATCGCGGTGCAATCACTCAATCGCCTTCCTACAAACAAAAGTATCTTTCAGAGCACTCGAAAGTCAGGTAATTTATCAGATACTCGACAGGCCCGTCAAATCACTGCAGACAAAGGCGCTATTGCGATTAGGTTTCATAACAACTCCGGAGTCCTCAGCAGCAGCTGCACACCTGAAACTGCGCCTGCGAACATTTCGGTGGCGATGTATTTTCCGGTCGGCTCACTGTCAGCAGGCACTATCAGCAAAAATCCAGAGTCTCGGCTTTTGAAACAGGAGACTGCGATTCATCGTGAACCGAGAGACCGCGCAGAACTCAACCGCCGGCGGGCGCTAAAGCAAGACTCGCTTGCTCTCCTCCGTGCGGTTCGGGACGCGGGTGCCCGGCATCCGAATCCGAAGAGGCGGGCAATTCCCAGCTGCTGCTCCATCCAGCCACAACGACCCCGAAATAAAGAGGGGACAGCCAACTCACCCGCTTCCCGCGCGCGGCCCCTCAGGCAGCCGAGCAGATAGCAAATAAAGGCCCGACGTGGCCGTTCCCAGGACCAGCAAGAAGCCCACCAACGACCGCATCGCTGGCGCTCATAGGGACACCAAGAGGACGAGACGCAGGAACTAAAGGCAACGGCCGATGAACTAAGTACTCACTCTCCGGCGAGTGACACAATATCTCCTTCCTTCCATAGATTAAATAAATGGCGAAACTTCCTGTAGAAAGGACACCTACAGAAGCTCGGTCGGGTCCACCGCTATTCTTTATGGTAGCGTTTCTTAACTTCAACAACTTTTATGATGTGTGGACTTCAACTCCTAGAATTAAAGTTGCTGAAGTTGAGAAACCCTGCTTTACGGCGTCGCGCTTTCGACATTTTTATAGTGAAAACAATTTACTGTAATCCAAATGGATATTAAAGCTTGGGGTGTCGTATTCTACTTGTGCTCACCTTCGCCCAGACACATACAGCTGCACCTGGGCTAATCTCGGGAAAAGTTTTTAGTTGTATTGCTGTTGGTTTTATGCTGTTTTATTTTATTGGTTGCAGGCGCCATTAATAAATGAATGAATGAATGAATGAAAGTGAGCAGGGTCGGATCTGCTTAACCTATGGTTCCTCTCTGAGCATTAGGGTTGCCGAAAAGAACAGACACCTAAAGACGCGGATTACGTTAAGCCATGGTTTAATCATGAAATTTCAAACAATAGCTTAATGCACATAGCTCCCAAACCAGTTATATTCAATCAGAATGCGGTTTGGCTTTGGCCTAGCAAGTCACGTTGAGGGTGCCTGATTGCTTGCCTGATGTAGGCGAAGTAAGCTGAAACGACTTGAAGTTCCGTCCGAGCTGTCAGAATAAGGCCAGTCGCGGGTCGAGCAATCTCAACTGCGCGGACCGAGGGGGAACGGTTAAAAAAGGCCTCTCTTCATCTCAGTGGTAGGAGGAGGGCTTTCGCTATTGACTACGCGCCGGCCCGTGATTTGTGACGTATTTCCGGCCTGGCCGCGGAGGCTGAGGCCTATGTACAAATGGGTCTCTGAGACTCTGTGGTCTTGGTTATTCTCCCCTTCCTCTTGTCATCGGGATGTGGAGCCTTCCTTCCCTCGACCGCGGAAGAGACGGTATCACAGGTGAGAGTGCGAAATCACCCCAGGGCTGTAGGCTAGTCTCGGCAATCGAAAAGCTTCCCGGAAAGAGGCAACGGCAAAATGCTTCCGTGATGCTGCACAGAAAAGCTCATTGACTTTGGTGTGAGTCGAGAGAGACTTAACGTAAGCGGAGAAGGATCTGAATGCCTGCATGGTAGCCCGAGCTAGAGTTGAAGTGGGCGTCACATCAGCTCCCTTCAGCCTTGACTTCCTGGGTCTTCCCTTCCTCTCGACGCATTCGCTTTTCCTTCATATATTGTTTTGCAATTAGATCCATATTTATTCCCTCAGAGAATGGGAAAATACTGGCTGGATGATGAGGTCTCCAAACAGAGAGTCTGGTAGCACCTTTTCCAGCTAACATTTTTATTAAAAGGCGTGAGAGTTTGTGAGCTGCAGCTCACTTCATCAGATGTGTAGAATTACTAAACTGAGGTAAGATTTAAATTGGGATGGGGGGGAGGAATAGAATAGAATAGAATAGAATAGAATAGAATAGAATAGAATAGAATAGAATAGAATACTTTATTAGCCAAGTATAAGACATACGAGGAATTTGACTTCGGTGCAAAAAACTTTCAGTGTGTTTGCATAGCATCAGGAAATAAGGAATAATAAAAAGTAATAACATTATATAC